TATGATGGATTTTTTTACATGTATTTTATCAATGCACATTTAGATAAAGTATTCTATCAATGCACATTTAGATAAAGTATTCTATCAATGCACATTTAGATAAAGTATTCCGGAAAAAAGCCATGCGTACCACTTCGTGTAAATACACAGTCAGACGTGCGTGTTCATACGAACTGCATGCTTATCATTGACATCATTTTTTGTAATCTGACAGAATTTCATATCACATATACATGTGATTTAGATGCTTATTGTATATATGTACATGTACTTCCTATTTAGCTCACACACTTGTATGACAGATATTTTTGCACGTAAAAATGGGGTACGTATTCGATGCTCTATGTACGCCCAAACTATGAATATTTATAATAATTATTTCTAAATTTTACATGTACATGTATATGGTGCATAACATCTAAAGTCATCAAACGTTTGTATTTTACAAGGAAGTAAATACAAAATTTAATCCGTGAATATACTCAGAAAGGGCCTATTTTATCATATTCACGGATTAAATTTTGCATTTACTTCTTTGTAAAATACAAACGTTTGATGACTTTAGATGTTATGCACCATATCATTTTTAAAGCTAATCAATTGTATTTTGAAAAAATGATGTCATTTAAATTGAAAGAACTGTTTTAATTATAAAATAAACAAAAAAACAGACGTATTTTACTATCAGTCACACGATTTGTCACATGTAAAAATTGAACATATGATGTCGATCAACTAAAAATCGATGTAATTGCATTTTCGAATTTTTCGTCAAGTTTCGGCCAAAGCACTCAAAGAGCCTTTAAATAAAGTTGTTGCCTGGGTCTCCACGAACAAAACTATATATAAAATTGGAAAAGTAATATCTCCTTATAGAATATAATACATTCGAAATCGGCATCCATTTTGTCTACTTTTGCTTGATTATTCTCCAGTTCGCAAGTTCTTGACAGAATGGATAAGACACACTTACTTTTGTACAAACTGCTCACACGTCAGTTTTCATATTGAATATTACACGAAAATCTTCGATTATCGTTATAAATTTTACTAACTACATAGAGCATCGAATGACCCAACGTAAAATTCGCGTAAATCACAAGGAAGAGTGGGGAGGGGGTATAAAAAGTATTGGACACATTTATTTTATTAATTACTTTAAAATGTATATAATAAATTATTTTTAAATTTTTAAAAATATAATAGTTTATAATTATATAAACAAAATAACAAAATTTTATACTTTTTGGTTTATTGATTGTTAATAAAATCAAAATCAAAATCTATTTACAAAATTAGTTTGCTGCATTTTTATTTATTTAAAAAAAATCCAAATTTAAATAACTGGCAATCAGAATTTATTATTTATTTTATTTAGTAAAATTAAATATACTTTTAAAAAATTAGTTAATTCTGATTGCTGGTTAATGAAATAATTAAATTTTAAAGTTTTTAAATATTTAATCTTTTAAAATTGTATTTTTAATATGTTTTTAAATTTTGATTTTTTCAATAATCAATGAATAAAAAAATATCAAATTTTTTTTATTAATTTACAATGTTTTAAACTATTAACAATGAAACTTTCAATATAAATTATTAAGTAATTATCAAGTAATTAATATGTAATATTTAGTCCTGCAAAAGCAATTTTATAAATAAATTTAAATTTTCTTAACAATCAACAAACCAAAAAGTATAAAATCTTGTTATTTTGTTATATAATTGTAAACTATTATATTTAAAAATTTAAAAATAATTTATTATATACATTTTAAAGTAAATAATAAAATAAAAGTGTCTAATACTTTTTACACCTCCTGTATGTAGGCACGTAAAACGCAACAAATTCCGTATACTTAAACACAGTTTTTTTTGACACGGAATCGCACAGAATGACAATTTCCGCGTCAAAAAACCCCCGTGCTGAACGTGTTTAAGTATACGGAATTTGTTGCGTTTTACGTGCCTACATACCTACCTTTCCTTGCGATTTCCGTATATTTACGTGCATTTACGTGCTTGCCTTTTTTTTATAGGGCGTAACAATAGAATATTCACTGGAAATATCGATATAAATTGATGTACAAAAATAATGAGTTTATTGAGTTTTAAACAAAAAAGATGCATCAGAAACTGTTAAATTAAAAATTATCTCCTAAAGATTTAAAGAGAGAAAGTTTGTTAGATTGAATAAATTATGCTATTATAATAAATTGCTACCACATAATTTTTTGAATCGGCAAATCAGGTTGGATGCTTGCGAAACATTTAACTATTTTATTTCGATATTAATGACAGATCGATATACGTAAGAAAATACTTGACATGATTTTATGCTTGTAACCAAATATTGAAGCATAAGATAATTATTTGTTGATCGTTAAACAGACCAGACCTTCAATCCAATTGAAAATCTTTGAAGTGTCACCAATTAGAGTGTTCAAGCTTTTCAAAATAAATTAGACTATAGCGAAATAATAAAGCTTAAGTTTTTATTTACACACTCCAAATAGATATCGGCGTCCTTTTACATACTCGTTATGATTTCAAGAGAATTTTCCGTGCATTCAATGATATCTAACAAAATTTTTCTTATGCAAATGTTTATGTGAAAGCACGATAGAAGCAAAGTTCTGAACCAAATTGACTTTAAAATAAAAGTTCTAAACCAAATTCACTTCATTGTAAAATTTCGAATTTAACAATGAAGGTGGTAACGATAATAATACGTAACGATAACGAGAAATTCTGTTCCGGATTAAAGTTAAAGACAATCCTTTCGAGATGCAAACACCACATATCGAATTGCGGAAAAAATCATTATCGTTATATAACGATATATATAACACATTCTCAACTCCATATGGAATGTCAAACACATGCTAACAAGACAATGATATTTACTTTTTTTGACAACGTATTCAAAATCATGTAGAATCATGTACATGTACATGTATACGTAAACACTACGTAGCAAAAATACCTTAAACGAATTAGCATACGTATATCTATCGATAAAAATGGAAAAGATCAGTAGATATCGAGATTTTTGGAATATGATAGAAAAGACAATGAAAAAGTTCTGAATCAATTTCAAGAAGAAAATAATAATAATCCACTTAGAGTATTCGCTGTATAATAATATCAACTATTTTTTTGATAGGAGCACCAGTATTTTTTTTTACTTGTTCATTATCAAAGTTTGTTTGTTCGGCCAAATGGTAAATTACACACATACCTTTTTTAGTTAAGGAGAATGGCGTGATAATTGCGTGATACAATATGTGCTGTAATTCTATTATACAGACTTACGATATAACGACGTGCAGATCCCATTGTAAACAATATAAATTCAATAGAATCTGCACGTCGTTATATCGTAAGTCGACTGTAACCAGTATTAATACATGTACATGTACTTTCTATTTAAAGCAATTCTTTGAATAGGTATTCATTTGTAATACAATAATAAATTTATTGAACCTTGATTTGGCGTTGATAAACTCTTTCGACCAATAAATTCATCACAGTGACTTCGATGCCAAGACTTTCTCTGATAGACATAGATTTGATATAATAACATTTATAAATTTGATTGTATTATTGTTCAAATAATAATACATTTATTAATAGCGTGGAATAGTGGTTTTTAGGGAAGAGAGAGAAAAAGAAATAATTATAATTTGAAAAGTGTTAGTCTATATAACTTATTAGTATAAATTGATACGTGTGGGTAAAGTGTCAAGAAGTGCAAAGACATGTCAAATATTGTAATTATCATGCAAGTGCGTCTGATATCATATAGACATGACATGTCTTTTTGATATTAAAAGTTAGAATTTGTATAGAATAGCAAAGATTGCTTAATGAATCCGCATATAAACGTATATTAAAAATACAAGCAAAAATACCGATACCTACCATTATTCTTCGTCTTAGAGCACTTTACAGCGCATTGCTTCACAATATGCAAAATTAGTGATACTCGATAACGATGTAACATTTACCAAAAATAGAAAGGAGTTTCAGCCAGGTCGACCCGGTTGGCCGATTGACACGAAGGGTGACTCATTTCACTAACAGTAAAAATGTTTTAGGCTGGTTGTCGATCATATAGTGATGCGTAGTAAAAAAATTACATGGTACGTAATAACAGTTAATAAGGTACATGTAGATAAAAATTTTTATAATATTGAATTTAAAGATTGATTGTTTGAATTACATACAGTACATGTTATAAAGAATTTTTTATTGTGTAAAGATATATCCGAAATTGCTAAAAATTAAGAAATATATTTCAATAAATTGCTATTAATCTATAAAAATAATTCATTATTTAAGTAAAATAAAATACAAATTAAACAATTTTCATTACGTTCGCTTAACGTTAAATACGATTGTTTTTCATATCATAAAAATGATAGTTTGTAATATTTGAAATAATTGATCAAATTTAAATTAAAAAAGTTCAATTCTGATAGTGTATAAGCAAATTTTTAAAGTATGTAATTATAAAATTCTGTAAGATTGCAACAATCTCTACAATTACAATCATTATGTCGTCGTGATAGTAATATACTCAAATTATAAAAAATACAAGACCATATCGTTAATTAAGCAGAACTAACAACTCCATTGTTATTATCTCACGCGGAATCCTGTGTTTTTAATTACCTTGTATCTGACCGAGAATGTAATTAACAGAAATTCAAATATTTATTCTTAGCTAAATAAACGGTGTATAAGTGCTGCACCAAACTTTTATTTCTAATTTATTATTATTTAAAGAAGAATATAAGATTAAATACATGATTTGTTTTATCAGAAAACAGATAAAGTGAACGCCTTAAATAATCTAGTATGCCTTAATTAAATTTCTTAAATTTTTGATGATATACGATGATTCTTTGGAAAGGCGTTTGCTTTTTGTCAATAAAAAGACCTAGTCCATCGTTTATCTGTTCGTAGAGTATTTCTCACACTATTCTTCATAATTTATGGATTCAAACATAAAAACATCTATAACAGATTTGAATAATTCTAAAAATTGCGAGACTTTGGAAAACGACAAGCCGGAATCTTTTAATGAAAATGAAAGGAGTTCGCAAGTACACGTTGAATCAGCATCAATTGAGATTACAACTACAAATTACAATGTTCAATTTCCAAAAACAACACATGGTGATAATAATGCCGAAGATAATAAATTTGGATTTCCTCAGGAATCACTTGGCGACACTCAAATTTTTAAACGTAGTCCTAAAATAACCTTTGAGATAATAAATCGTGAACACAAAATAATCAATTCATGTCATCCTAATAACGCTGACAATGTCGAAGACTTGACAATTATCTGTCATGACGATAAAGTCGTAACGAACTGTATTCTTGACGATGACGAGAAAATAGAGAGAATACCGTTAGATGAGAACAATCCAATGAATTGGTCACAAGGGAAAAAGCGGATTACTTTGTTCTTGATTGCTTTTGCCGGGATAATTGCTCCTCTTTCTAGCACGTATGTATTTTTTATTCAGTTTTTATGGTGAAGAATAACGATTCGTTCTTGTTGTTTATTTTCTTTTATAATTAGAATCCTTTATCCAATTCTAAATTTAATTCGAGAAGACTTGAATATTCAACAAATACTTGCGAATTCATTAGGTATACTAATAATTTATTAATCTATTTTACACGTTTGTAATTGAAATTTATCACGATATCTTTCGTTTAATTCCAATAGTCGGCGTATTTATCTTAGTTCTCGGAATCGCAGTACGAAATTAAATATGTTAAACATTTTATTTATTTTAATATGATTTAATGTATTCCTTCTTATTTATAATTAGCCGCTTGGATGGGCATCATTTTCCGATACGCGAGGCACTCGACGAAACGTTTATTTATCTTCATTTTTAATCTTTATTGTTGCGTCTTTCATTTGTGCTTTATCGTATAATGTTTGGTTACTGCTAATAATGCGGGCCTTACAAGCATGCGGTGCTTCAGCCGTTCAAAGTATTGGAGCAGGAACAATAAGCGATATATATCCGCCTTTAGGTATTTAAAATTATTAAGGTTTATTATTCATATATGTACATTCAAATTCACTTCTCTTTTTTTTTTTAGAGCGAGGCATGTCTTTTGGTCTATTTTACGTCGGCCCGCTAATTGGTATGTGTTTTGTATTTGTTGATTGTATTATTTGAAAGTTTTAATTTTAATACTAATTTCAAATAGGAACAGTAATTGGCCCTGTAATTGGAGGTTATTTAGGGGAAGCATTTGGATGGAGGTTTGAATTAATATAAACATGTTACAATTCTTAATGAGTTTATTTTAATTTCTATTTTCCTACTCTAGATCAATATTCTGGTTTTTATTGATATTAGGAGTCATAATTATTCTTGTGATTTTCTTTTTTCTTCCAGAGACATTCTATCAGCAAATTAATCCATCAGCTACATCAACAGATCAAAAAGAGAAAAAACGATTTAACCCATTCGGACCACTATCTCTTCTTAAACATCCACACTTACAAATAGTAGTATTATATATTAGCATTCTTTATGCAAACTTGTACACCCAACATATTTTAATCTCGACGACTTTTCCATCTCGATACCATCTTTCTACAAGCGCAAACGGTTGGATGATCTTTCCAAATTGTGTTGGTTACCTGATTGGATCGGTTTTAGGCGGTCGGTACTCGGATTATGTATTGCTTAGGGGGAAAAAACGGCACGAGGGAAAGTATATGCCGGAATTGAGACTTCAAAGTGTTTGGTTTGGCGCAATTATTTTCTCGTTTTCTACTTTGGCGTTTGGATGGTTGGTGGAGTTTAGGTTACCGTTGATATGGCCTCTATTAGCAATGTTTTTCGGTAATTGAATACAAGTTATTATTTTCTTCGACGCAATTATAAATTTATAAATTTTTATATAGTTGGTCTTGGAACTATGCTCGTCGTTTCTTCAGCATGCGGTTACATGGTCGACACATTCCCGTCATTAAGCGCTTCGGCGATTGCTACAAATAATTGTATGCGCTATCTGGCAGCAGCAACGATGACTATTCTCACTGAGCCAATGCATCAAGCTTTGTGCACCGGTTGGATATTCACCATTCTTGGATTTCTTTCTATGGTTGGCGGATTGCTTTTGGTATTAGTCTATGCTCGAGGTTCAAAGTGGCGTGAACAAGCTTTAGTCATTATTAGTGAAAAATGTTAAATCTATTTTGCTTTGAATCTTTGTAAGACAATATCGATATATTTAATACGTGATTTGGTAAATTTTATCTTTAAAGAGTCATATATAACTCATAAATTGCAATGCTAATAAAATTATTTCCAGTATGGGCAACCGAAGCATTTAGTAAGCAACTATTCCAGATTCAATTTTGAGTCTAATAAACTTGATTTCTTTAAAGCGTAGATGAAAAATAATAAAACCCCCATTGTTTGCTGCAATAAAAATAGCACAATCAGTTATTTTTAATTCGAAGTGATTGATATACATGTAATACGTAACTATAAATGGGGATCGAATGTTGATTTGCATCATAGTTAAATGTACCAACACAAAAAAGGTATTAATGATTTTTGAATGGTATAATCAATCTACATTACGTACACTGATTCTGGGTCATTACCATAAAAAAGCAACCAGGTCCCGAGCATAGTAAATTTTTGGAGAGGTGATTGGGTACACTTTATGAAATAGATTTTTAAAATATTAAGTATTTCAAATATATACTGTAATAATGTGGGAAAACCCATTTACGTACTCCAAGACATGATATCTAATTAAACTATGTTATTTGCTGCTGTAATGTCGTCCTGATATTTTTAAAATGGTGCTATGTCATAGAAAAAATATTAGATATGCATACATTAATATTTTTTTTCAGCCGAAGACCCAATAAAATCACTCGAAATCTTACATAATTGTCGAGAAAGAAAATTATTGGCTTGAACTTTTATATCGATATCCGTTTTCTTCAATTCTAACGCTAAGTCGTGCACTATTCTCGATACGAACATGTATATTTATTTGTTGAGCTCTTAGAATAATATTTTTGAGCTCTTAGAATAATATTTTTTGACATGAGGTTGTACTTAGCATGTGCATGCAGTTCTATATACGTACATGTATAATTGGATCCAATACAATCCTAATCTATCATATTTAGGATTAGAATTTGTATTGACTTTTTTTCATTAAAATAAAAGACTGAGAAAAACGCTTACGAATGGAAGTTGTAATATCTTCTTACTTGTATATATGTCGATTCTTTGAAAATACAATTGGGTTTTCATCCGTTCATGATATTATAGAATATTTCTCGCACCATCTTTTATAATTTAGAACTTATGGATATAAACATAAAAACATCTATAACAGATTTGAGTAATTCTAAGAATTGCAAAAATTTGGAAAACGACAAACCGGAAGCTTATAATAAAAATGAAAAGAATCTACACTTTGAATCAGCATCGATTGAGATTACAACAAATTATAATGTCCAAATTCCTTCATCTTCCCTTCCCCAATTTCCAAAAACGGCACATTGTAATGATAATGCCAAAAATTATAATAAATCTATATTGATTCAAGAGTCATGTAAATGTAGTCCTAAAATCACCGTTGATATCAATCGTGAAAGCAAAATAATCAATTCATGTAACGCCAACAAGAATGAAGACATGATAATTGTCTGTCATGACGATAAGATCGTATCGAAGATCGATCTTAAGGATGACGAGACAATATCCTTAGATGAGAATCCAATGAATTGGCCACGAGGGAAAAAACGGAGAATTTTATTTTTGATTGCTTTTGCCGGGATGATAGCGCCTCTTACTAGCACGTATGTATTTTTATTTAGTTTTATGTGAGAAATTAATGATTTAACTTATTCTTGCTGCTTATTTTCTTTTTATAATCAGGATTCTTTATCCGGCTCTAAATTTAATTCGAAAAGACTTGAATACTCGACAAATACTTGCAAATGCGTTAGGTATAGTGATTATTGGTTACTTTACACGTTTTTAATCGAAATTCACCACAACATATTTTATTTTAATTCCAATAGTCGGCGTATTTATCCTAGTTCTCGGAATCGCAGTACGAAATTAAATTTGTTAAACCTTTTATCTATTTAATACGATTTAATATATTCCTTCTTATTTATAATTAGCCGCTTGGATGGGCATCATTTTCCGATACGTGGGGCACTCGACGAATCGCTTATTTATCCTCATTCTTAATCTTTATTGCTGCGTCTTTCATTTGTGCTTTTTCGTCTAATATTTGGTTACTGCTAATAATGCGAGCCATACAATCATGCGGTGCTTCAGCTGTTCAAAGTATTGGAGCGGGGACAATAGGCGATATTTATCCGCCTACAGGTATTTAAATAATTATCAAAGTTTATTATCATACATGTTTATTCAAATTCCCTACCATTAGAACGAGGAGCATCTTTTGGTCTATTTTGCATCGGTCCGCTACTTGGTACGTTTTATTGTATAGAAAAAATGTCGTTGCCGGTGACAATCACCGGCTTGTGTTAAGTAAGAAGGCTACTTATAGCAAAATTTTATGAGGAATATTTTTTGCTAAAATGCCGAAGGCTGTTTTTTAGGCAAATTTTTGAGTTATAAGCTTGTTTTGAATTTTTTCATTACACATGATACCGGCGGCGACAAATAGAAATTATTTCGATTTTATTTCTAATTCTAATTTTCAAATAGGAACAGTTATTGGCCCTGTAATTGGCGGTTATTTAGGAGAAGCATTTGGATGGAGGTTTGAAATTTTCTACCTTTTTAATTAATCGTAATGTAAACATGTTAAAATTTATTTTAAATTTCTATTTTCCGGTCTAGATCGATATTCTGGTTTTTATCGATATTAGGAGTCATAATCATTGTTATGGTTTACTTTTTTCTGCCAGAGACATTCTATCAGCAAATTCCAACAGACCAACAAAAGAAAAAACGATTTAACCCATTCTCACCACTATCTCTTCTTAGATATACACACTTACAAATAGTGGTATTCTATATAAGCATTCTCTTTGCAAACGTGTACGCCCAACATATTTTAGTCTCGACGACTTTTCCATCTCAATACAATCTTTCAACAAGCGCAACCGGTTGGATAATTTTTCCAAATTGTGTTGGCTACCTGATTGGATCGGTTGTAGGCGGTCGGTACTCAGATTATGTATTACTCAAGGAGAAAGAACGGAACGAGGGAAAGTATGAGCCGGAATTTCGACTTCGAAGTGTCTGGTTTGGTGCAATTATTTTCTCGGCTTCTACAATTGTGTTTGGATGGTTGGTAGAGTTTAAGTCGTCTTTGATATGGCCTCTATTAGCAATGTTTTTCGGTAATTGAACAAAAGTTATTATTTCCTTCGATGCAATTATAAATTTATAAAATTATTTATTTCGGATAAATTAATTTCTATATAGTTGGCCTTGGAACTATGCTCATCTTTTCTTCAGCATGCAGTTACATGATCGACGCATTCCCGTCATTAGGCGCTTCAGCAATCGCCACAAATAATTGTATGCGTTATTCAGCAGCAGCAGTGATGACTGTTCTCACTGAACCGTTGCATCAAGTTTTAAGCATCGGTTGGATATTCACCATTCTTGGAGCTCTTTCTGTGGTTGGCGGGTTGCTTTTGGTATTGGTCTATACTCGAGGTTCAAAATGGCGTGAACGAGCTTTGGTGAAGCAAAGCAACGTTGGTAATGAAAAGTGTTGATAATGTACATAACATACATACAGCAGGGCTGTCTTAAAAAAATGTCTGTAATTAGTTATTTACCATTCTAAAAATATTCTTTATATTAAATGTCTTAAAAAGAACATGTGATCAAATTTGACTTATCGTTATCAGCCACAAGACATGTCTCATTTTGATGATTTAATTAGAATTTATGTTTGTATTGTTACCGTAGTAACAATAAATCCCTTAATTCCGCAATAATGCTCAACTAAATTCTACATGAAAATCTTACCATAAACACTTTGGCGATCCCCCACGAAGATCCTAATTATTCCGTGCCGATCGTATTGTCAACCAGAATAGGAAATAAT